CCCCGAATCCCTATCGAGAGGCAAAGAGACGAGCCGTTGACGTCTGAGCATCAGAGTTTTAGACTTGCCTCCTTAAGCTGGGGTGGCGGGAGGCTGCAGGTCCACTGCGGGTCCAGGTCCGTTTTGCAAGGCCGCCAGGCGTCGCATCGATCCCGGCCCCCGATAGACACGCAGCGCCCCAGCACCCAGCACTCAGCCCGCAGCACCCTGGAGCGCTGGGCCTTGGCGCACGACCCACCAGGCACGCGGCAAGGCGGCCTGCACGGTCACGGCTCTTCCGGCACATGCAGCCAACAGAGTGACGACGGGACAGCGCAGGGCAGCATCACACACACATTGCAACATGGACACTGCACAACATCACCACATCACACCTGCCATGCATCGCATCGCCCGACAGCCACACTCGTCATGACAACTGCACTGCACCCCAGGCTCTGGTAGCTGACCACCCATGCGACCACTTGCCACCAGCAGTAAGTTGGTGGCACTCCGTAGAATTACTCAAGAAGTAACTTGAGTAAGTACCTAGGTACCTAACGTACTCAAGTAAGTACGTACCACCAAGGCGCACGGCAACGGCCAGCCTTGGTTGACTGTTCATGCACCATGCAACGCCAAGGATTCGGGACAGCATGAATCGATGCGAAATAGTAATACTAGTACGTACGTAGTTACGTTAATATTTAGTACTATGACTACCAGACGATATTACATTGCTCTGGTGGGGTTTGCCAATTCCATAGAATCCACACGGTTCAAAGCTCCCAAAATAGATGACGACTCGTGCGACGTGAGCCTCGTCGTGACGTGCGCTGCTTTCCCCTTTCCTTGTCTTGGGACTTTCTCTCCTTCTCGTTCCCTAGGTATGGCGTCAAGCACAGAATTTTCATGTGTGCTTGCTCAATTGCTTCACGCTGATACGACCGTCTTCAGCCACCGGACAGACATATGCATCCAGACCAGGTTTCCAGGCCCGTCCTTGATGCTACTACGTAGTACATTGGCATAGCGAACCATGATAACGGAGACGTGGAGCCGTTGTGCCGGGTAATATGATCATTGCACCAGAATCCTCCTATTCGTCTCTTCAAGACTTGTGCAATACGTACGAGCAGACGAGTAAGTCACATGCCGAGATCAAGGACGACAGGGTACCGGGGCTGCGGCCAAGTATCGATGGGAAAACGGAGGTACTACGGAGTGCTGCTCCGCATTCTATACAGAGAAAATAAGCGCCCGTGTCGCGCATTCGTCAACGTGGTAATGCCTCGAAGCTACCGCATTGCGCTTGGCAACGCTGGTACGGGCATGAATATGCCTTGTTGTCTGCCGTCCTCGCCCACCTATTCGCAGCCCATGTGGCCTTGAACCATGACTCCCATGAAAAAAATGATGCCAATTTCTGCCTGTCGAACTGACGAGCGCTTGCTATGGGTTGGTGGCGGCATTTCAATGTCCAGCAAGCAAACTTGGAACGTTGGGGGCCGGGCTCCATGGTCCACCTGATGCTTGGAGCAAAACCGTTTCGGTGTCCAAGCACTCCAAAATTAGTGACGTGGAAACAAGCCCCTTTTTTCTGGTATTAGCCTGATGCTGCCAATCTACGGTGGGTATCTCGGCGTCTTCGACGTCTTGGCACCTCTCACATCACCGGCATCCCATGTCGCGGCCTGGACGTTGGGCGTTGCCGATAACTCGTTTTCATTGCGGGAACTCGCCAAAACCGAACGTGCACACATACACATAAAATAGTCCGCGCCTCTCTTGCTTTTCGCTTCTGTGTGCCGAGAAGCTAATGGTCAGGATTAGCATTCAGCTACCCCGTACGGACTCAATTGCCACAGACCTTGCGTTCCGGTTTTCGCTCGACCTTTGACCGACTTCTAGGGCCGGCAAGGCTGATGACAGCCGCCGGTGCGACGTCTGGCGGGATCCCAAGTTGTCTGTAGGCACCTAGTGGTCGTCCAAGGTCGAGATGCGCGGCGGGATTGGGCAGTGGAGGGCGTTTCTGCGACAGAAACGCTCAGAAACGCTCGGGGAAGGAAGGACTTGACGCTCGGGTCATTACTCTGCACAATTTCACAATTTGTTAACTTCCATTTGTGCACTTGTCGCAGATTCGTGCGATTTGTGTCCCGATTGGCTTAGCGCGGTTTGCCTGGTGCCGGTGCCAAGGGCCACTACTAATCGTAACGACAAGACACCAGGCACTTCTTCTCCCCCCCCTTCCCTTCTTCCCCTCATGCCATTCGTGTCGCCGAATATTTTTGCGCCCCGAGAAAAATTTTTTCTTCTCCTAGGGGCAGGTAGTGTCTTATTCCTATCCGCGAGCATTTACCGGAGGGCCAGCCTCTCAGGGACTCGCAGCCTTCCCAGCATGCCACGAGCTTGCCGAGAGTGCCGGCTTATTTGCGCGGTCACGCGACGGTGTCATTCTCGTTCAACTCTTCCTTCTGATATTTACGTGACCAGCGGCCGAGGCATATTCCTTCTTCATTCGAAGTACAATACTCTCTGGGTCGAGGCATCCGACGTCGGATATCTGCGTTGTCCGTCAATGTAACATGATGGCATCCGTAGACAGCAGTGGATGCAACGCAACTCCATCATTCTTCCCTTTGACCGCAACAACGTCTCGAGTTATGTAGCGACGAGACTTTTTGTCATAGACTGCGATTAGATGAGCAAAATACCCTCACTGTTCAAGGACGTTGAGTTTTGGACTCGAAAGACGCTTTTTCTTTCCCAACTGGGCTGCAGCCACAAGACTGCCAGCACACCACGACAGGTCAGGCAAAATGGGGTGTTCAGGCGTCTCTCGCGATACCTCGCTTATTGTGCTGCAAGCCTGATTGAGTTGCGTCCGACCTTGCGGCTTTCAGCCTGTAGTTGACCACCGACCAGCCGATGGTCGAATCCAGTGTTGAGCCCAATAACCCTGACAGGCCGACTGGCTCGTCTTTGTGGCCTCAAAGGCATTACATAAAAGGCAGCGTGTGAAGCGCCCCTCTGAACATGCTGAATCCTAGCAGCACTTGTCTCAAGACTCCTGGTCCTAGTTCATGACCAAGTTGTCGTTGTGGGCATTCCATTCTGCACCTCCCAGGTGGAGTAAGTTGAAAGGCACATGTGAGATGCCAACCACATCGTCAGCTTCATCAAGGAGCCCAATAGCTTTTTCAGTCACTGAAACCATGCCACATGCAGTCAGTCCCCCAGCCATTGGTTACTGCGAGGTCCCAACGCGGCTCATTGTTCATGGCGTACACCGGACGGCATTGCTCAGCTTGCGTAAAGCCCTCCACCAGTTGGGCTTTTGTAACTGCTACCACACGACATCCACGAGGACTTCGAAAGCGATACTGATGTGTGGATTCAGGCTCTCGAGGCCAAGTTTGGCGACAAGGGCAGAGAATGGACAAGGGAGGACTGTGACACACTGTTGGGACAGACGCAGGCCTGTGTCGACATGCCAACTGGTCTCGAGCTCTCGAGCTCACAGAAGCTTACCCGGAGGCCAAGATCGTGATAGTCAACCGTGACACGGAAGCATGATTTCAGAGTGTACTTGGCAACATATACAAGACCATACAGCCCCCTTCAACCCTGCACGGGGCTCAAAGTCTCTACTGAGCGGCTGTAGACACAGAGTACCGTGCATGGCTTCGTTTCGTGTCACCATGATCAAGCACGGCTTGCCCGTCGACCATGGCCCGGAAAAGGACAAGGCCATTGCCTGGTTTAACAAATCTTACAAGGATGTGCGTGGCGCCATCCCAAAGGAGAGGCGCTTCGAGTCCTCCGCCAAAGACGGCTTCAAGCCGCTGTGCGAATTCCTCCATATCTCTGTACCACTGGTCAAGGATGACAGTGGCTTCTTTTCTCCAACCTCAATGATGGCGCTTCCTTCAGCTCGAGGCAAGTTAAGCTCAAGGCTGTCAAGTTTTGAAAAAAGCCAAGAGTCAGCTCTTTTTTTTTTTTTTTTTTTTTTAAAAAAAAAAAAAAAAAAAAAAGAGCTGACTCTTGGCTTTTTTCAAAACTTGACAGCCTTGAGCTTAACTTGCCTCGAGCTGAAGGAAGCGCCATCATTGAGGTTGGAGAAAAGAAGCCACTGTCATCCTTGACCAGTGGTACAGAGATATGGAGGAATTCGCACAGCGGCTTGAAGCCGTCTTTGGCGGAGGACTCGAAGCGCCTCTCCTTTGGGATGGCGCCACGCACATCCTTGTAAGATTTGTTAAACCAGGCAATGGCCTTGTCCTTTTCCGGGCCATGGTCGACGGGCAAGCCGTGCTTGATCATGGTGACACGAAACGAAGCCATGCACGGTACTCTGTGTCTACAGCCGCTCAGTAGAGACTTTGAGCCCCGTGCAGGGTTGAAGGGGGCTGTATGGTCTTGTATATGTTGCCAAGTACACTCTGAAATCATGCTTCCGTGTCACGGTTGACTATCACGATCTTGGCCTCCGGGTAAGCTTCTGTGAGCTCGAGAGCTCGAGACCAGTTGGCATGTCGACACAGGCCTGCGTCTGTCCCAACAGTGTGTCACAGTCCTCCCTTGTCCATTCTCTGCCCTTGTCGCCAAACTTGGCCTCGAGAGCCTGAATCCACACATCAGTATCGCTTTCGAAGTCCTCGTGGATGTCGTGTGGTAGCAGTTACAAAAGCCCAACTGGTGGAGGGCTTTACGCAAGCTGAGCAATGCCGTCCGGTGTACGCCATGAACAATGAGCCGCGTTGGGACCTCGCAGTAACCAATGGCTGGGGGACTGACTGCATGTGGCATGGTTTCAGTGACTGAAAAAGCTATTGGGCTCCTTGATGAAGCTGACGATGTGGTTGGCATCTCACATGTGCCTTTCAACTTACTCCACCTGGGAGGTGCAGAATGGAATGCCCACAACGACAACTTGGTCATGAACTAGGACCAGGAGTCTTGAGACAAGTGCTGCTAGGATTCAGCATGTTCAGAGGGGCGCTTCACACGCTGCCTTTTATGTAATGCCTTTGAGGCCACAAAGACGAGCCAGTCGGCCTGTCAGGGTTATTGGGCTCAACACTGGATTCGACCATCGGCTGGTCGGTGGTCAACTACAGGCTGAAAGCCGCAAGGTCGGACGCAACTCAATCAGGCTTGCAGCACAATAAGCGAGGTATCGCGAGAGACGCCTGAACACCCCATTTTGCCTGACCTGTCGTGGTGTGCTGGCAGTCTTGTGGCTGCAGCCCAGTTGGGAAAGAAAAAGCGTCTTTCGAGTCCAAAACTCAACGTCCTTGAACAGTGAGGGTATTTTGCTCATCTAATCGCAGTCTATGACAAAAAGTCTCGTCGCTACATAACTCGAGACGTTGTTGCGGTCAAAGGGAAGAATGATGGAGTTGCGTTGCATCCACTGCTGTCTACGGATGCCATCATGTTACATTGACGGACAACGCAGATATCCGACGTCGGATGCCTCGACCCAGAGAGTATTGTACTTCGAATGAAGAAGGAATATGCCTCGGCCGCTGGTCACGTAAATATCAGAAGGAAGAGTTGAACGAGAATGACACCGTCGCGTGACCGCGCAAATAAGCCGGCACTCTCGGCAAGCTCGTGGCATGCTGGGAAGGCTGCGAGTCCCTGAGAGGCTGGCCCTCCGGTAAATGCTCGCGGATAGGAATAAGACACTACCTGCCCCTAGGAGAAGAAAAAATTTTTCTCGGGGCGCAAAAATATTCGGCGACACGAATGGCATGAGGGGAAGAAGGGAAGGGGGGGGAGAAGAAGTGCCTGGTGTCTTGTCGTTACGATTAGTAGTGGCCCTTGGCACCGGCACCAGGCAAACCGCGCTAAGCCAATCGGGACACAAATCGCACGAATCTGCGACAAGTGCACAAATGGAAGTTAACAAATTGTGAAATTGTGCAGAGTAATGACCCGAGCGTCAAGTCCTTCCTTCCCCGAGCGTTTCTGAGCGTTTCTGTCGCAGAAACGCCCTCCACTGCCCAATCCCGCCGCGCATCTCGACCTTGGACGACCACTAGGTGCCTACAGACAACTTGGGATCCCGCCAGACGTCGCACCGGCGGCTGTCATCAGCCTTGCCGGCCCTAGAAGTCGGTCAAAGGTCGAGCGAAAACCGGAACGCAAGGTCTGTGGCAATTGAGTCCGTACGGGGTAGCTGAATGCTAATCCTGACCATTAGCTTCTCGGCACACAGAAGCGAAAAGCAAGAGAGGCGCGGACTATTTTATGTGTATGTGTGCACGTTCGGTTTTGGCGAGTTCCCGCAATGAAAACGAGTTATCGGCAACGCCCAACGTCCAGGCCGCGACATGGGATGCCGGTGATGTGAGAGGTGCCAAGACGTCGAAGACGCCGAGATACCCACCGTAGATTGGCAGCATCAGGCTAATACCAGAAAAAAGGGGCTTGTTTCCACGTCACTAATTTTGGAGTGCTTGGACACCGAAACGGTTTTGCTCCAAGCATCAGGTGGACCATGGAGCCCGGCCCCCAACGTTCCAAGTTTGCTTGCTGGACATTGAAATGCCGCCACCAACCCATAGCAAGCGCTCGTCAGTTCGACAGGCAGAAATTGGCATCATTTTTTTCATGGGAGTCATGGTTCAAGGCCACATGGGCTGCGAATAGGTGGGCGAGGACGGCAGACAACAAGGCATATTCATGCCCGTACCAGCGTTGCCAAGCGCAATGCGGTAGCTTCGAGGCATTACCACGTTGACGAATGCGCGACACGGGCGCTTATTTTCTCTGTATAGAATGCGGAGCAGCACTCCGTAGTACCTCCGTTTTCCCATCGATACTTGGCCGCAGCCCCGGTACCCTGTCGTCCTTGATCTCGGCATGTGACTTACTCGTCTGCTCGTACGTATTGCACAAGTCTTGAAGAGACGAATAGGAGGATTCTGGTGCAATGATCATATTACCCGGCACAACGGCTCCACGTCTCCGTTATCATGGTTCGCTATGCCAATGTACTACGTAGTAGCATCAAGGACGGGCCTGGAAACCTGGTCTGGATGCATATGTCTGTCCGGTGGCTGAAGACGGTCGTATCAGCGTGAAGCAATTGAGCAAGCACACATGAAAATTCTGTGCTTGACGCCATACCTAGGGAACGAGAAGGAGAGAAAGTCCCAAGACAAGGAAAGGGGAAAGCAGCGCACGTCACGACGAGGCTCACGTCGCACGAGTCGTCATCTATTTTGGGAGCTTTGAACCGTGTGGATTCTATGGAATTGGCAAACCCCACCAGAGCAATGTAATATCGTCTGGTAGTCATAGTACTAAATATTAACGTAACTACGTACGTACTAGTATTACTATTTCGCATCGATTCATGCTGTCCCGAATCCTTGGCGTTGCATGGTGCATGAACAGTCAACCAAGGCTGGCCGTTGCCGTGCGCCTTGGTGGTACGTACTTACTTGAGTACGTTAGGTACCTAGGTACTTACTCAAGTTACTTCTTGAGTAATTCTACGGAGTGCCACCAACTTACTGCTGGTGGCAAGTGGTCGCATGGGTGGTCAGCTACCAGAGCCTGGGGTGCAGTGCAGTTGTCATGACGAGTGTGGCTGTCGGGCGATGCGATGCATGGCAGGTGTGATGTGGTGATGTTGTGCAGTGTCCATGTTGCAATGTGTGTGTGATGCTGCCCTGCGCTGTCCCGTCGTCACTCTGTTGGCTGCATGTGCCGGAAGAGCCGTGACCGTGCAGGCCGCCTTGCCGCGTGCCTGGTGGGTCGTGCGCCAAGGCCCAGCGCTCCAGGGTGCTGCGGGCTGAGTGCTGGGTGCTGGGGCGCTGCGTGTCTATCGGGGGCCGGGATCGATGCGACGCCTGGCGGCCTTGCAAAACGGACCTGGACCCGCAGTGGACCTGCAGCCTCCCGCCACCCCAGCTTAAGGAGGCAAGTCTAAAACTCTGATGCTCAGACGTCAACGGCTCGTCTCTTTGCCTCTCGATAGGGATTCGGGG